CATGACTTATCTTTGAATTACATAACCTATCACTTCTAATGTTGTTACTCACTGTTTTTAAGTATCTTATTGTGTTTTAAAGTTAAAATTCGAAAATTTTGAAAAAATAAAAAATTTTGAGAAAAATACCAAAAGGAGTCATTTTTGTTGTTTGTTTGCGTCTTAGGGTACCTTCCAACACAATGATGATGATTTGGTTTTTAATTGCATGACTGTTAAAGAAAGTTACAAACATGGGTGGAATATGCTCTTTGGTTAATACTTGGTTGTAGTTGTCATTAACGAATTCACATGCTTGAAGGAAGGAACTCAAACTAACGCTACAACCTTGAAAGACTTGAGCCTATACTTTGTTTGGAGAGTTATTAATTTGTGATATTCTTGTTTTCTAAAGTCGTCGCATGATCGCATTATTTCTTTGCTTGGTTGCTACTTGGAATGCTTTTTCATCATTTTAGTTCCAAATACTAGAACTCATGCCCGTTTCATTCAAAGCTTAAAATTGATTGAATAACAAAGACAAGATGAAGTGTACCAGAGCCAAAAAGCCTTATCCCTTGCATATGTATTGTAGGTTTAACCCCTTTGAACCTTATTTTGCCTATTTTCCTTGTTAACCAGCATTGTCCTTACCTAGCCTAGAATAGGACTATCCATACCTTTGTTCTTAAAGAATAGTGAAGCATGACTTGTTGGGAATTCTTTTCGATCAACATTATGCAGAAAAACAAGTGTGGGGGAAGGTTTTTCATTGGAAATCTATGAGGTTGTATGTTTTGTGTGCCAAAGAGAAGGGCACGAGAAGGAAAAAAATGTGGAAAAGAAGGAAGAAAAAAAAGGAAAGTGTGTAGAAAAGAAAGAAAAAGAATTCAAAATAAGTGAGAATGAGCTCACAAGTATTGGTTGTTGAAGAAGGGTGAATCTGACCCTAAAGTTGTATGAATCTCCCCTTTGTGTTTAAAGTTAGATGCTGCAATCAAAAATTGAATTCTAAGTGTTGATTTCATTACTTTGCTTACTATCACTTTAAGAACCTTTGTTTATCCTTGACCATTCTTTGTTAGCCAATACCTTAGCCCCATTACAACCCTTAGACTTTTATCTTGATTGTTATGTTATTCAATATGTGGAGTTTGAAATTGGTACGAGCATATGGAATCCTTGGTTCTCGCTTCTAAGTAGTGGCATTCCGTTCATGAGATCATATACATGTTATATTAATAATTCCAGAAAGTGCCTTCTTTGTTATAACATATGTAAGTGTTAGTCTACATGTTTACATCAATCATCTCACTTATACTTAGTATAGGGAGTGTAGTAAAAAAATATGTGTGAAAATAGAGAGTATATCTAGTGAGCAATTGAGAGAATTCTCTAAGGCATGTTACTACATTCAAAATATTGTTTCAATTGATTAAATGGAAGCTAGTGAGTGGTTACTGCGATTAAGTATAAGGTCGAGGGTAAGGATAGCTAAAATTTATGTGAGTAGTGATTTTTAACATGTCATGTTTCATTGGAAATCCCTGAGGCAATTGTTCGAAGGTTTAGGTTATGTTTTGTTTTGTTTTGCTTGAGAACTAGCAAAAGTTAAGTGTGGGGGAATTTGATAGGCATATTTATGCGACTTTGTTAGCTTACTTTTTTGCATTTACAAGTTAGTTTCTATTTATAAGAGTGTTTTAAGTTATTTTCGTGTGTTGGTAGGTCCAATTGGCAAAGGTGACAAGAAATGGCAATTTGAAGCATTTTGGAGCAGTTTTGGATTTGGAATGGATAGCATACGCATGAAACAGGTTGGATGGACGTTTTTGAAGTTTAAGGAGGCTAGGAATGTGCTACAAATCTGGAGAAATTAAATCAAGACTTGGAAGATAAGGAATCAGCTAAAAAGAAGAAACATTATCCAAACTAAGCTTATCTTATCTTATCCAGTCTTGTTTTATCTCAACCTAATTTTTATCTTATCTTATCATATCTTAATCTTATCCTACCTAATTTCCAACTGCAAGGGGGACTCCTTTTCATATTAAACCACATGTTATCTAGTTCTAGAAGCCCTAAGATTGTGCCAAACCACCATATCCCTTTCCCCCCAGGAATCTACCGCGCCTAGTCCTTTTCCTTCATGGAGTGGGTTGTGTCGTGCCCTTGCCGCAGGTTTGAGGAGCATTCAAAGGAGAAATCAAGTGTGCCGTGACCTGCAATTAGGAGAAGGAGAGCTTGTGCCACAAATTGCAATCAAGCCTTGGAGATTTCTAGAGTTCTTTCTATCGTTTCTTAGTTTCAATGTTTATTTTATATTGCTTTTCAATTACTATGAACATGAGTGGCTAAGTCTTGTTTTAGCTAGAGGTGAATTCGAAGCCATGGACATATGTTTTATATGAATCGATTTCCTCCAGTTACTGTTTCATAAAGCATGAATGTGATTTACTTATTTGTTTTATAGATAACTTATTCTTGTATGTTATTAAGTAGGCCTATTTAGTTTGCATGCAGGAAAATATAAGGGAATTTCACCTAATCGTTATGAACTTATATTCACAAGTAGTAAAAGTCACTAGTCATGATTGTGTTAAGTAAATTCCTGGCAAGAGTATCATGCAGTTCATAGTTACGAATGTCTTGTCAATGCTTATGATTTTCATAGAATTTAATGATCTTTGATATGCATCTCTATCATGATGTTCATATAGGGAACTTGATAAGAATGATTTGATTGCGTCACTAAGTCCAATTCAATGAACTTGGGAAAATCTAAAAGTTAATTTGTGCAGTTCACGATTAATTTGGGGCATTGTCATTCATGGTTTATAGAAATAATAACTGGAAATCGATTTGTGTGCATATGTTTCATGTGTGGAGAAGAATCATCTAGCTAGCCTTTCACCCAATTTTCATCCAAATTCACTTTGTTTCTGCAATTTGGTTGTTTTAGTTCAAAATTCGTCCAAACCCCCCCTCCCCCTTAGTTCTTATTTGTGTTAGTTTAGCCTAGTTTTCAATTTTTGAGTCAAGTTAGTATAGATTTGCCCCAACCTTTGATGCCAAACACTTGACTTCACCATTTTTCCCAAGTAAGCAACTGGATCCTTTGTCGTAGATTGTAACCCTCTTGAATTGTTCAAACACAGGGATTTGAAATGGCTCTTCTAGCTTACTCTTTCCATGATACATTACCTCCATTGTCTTCTTGTCATGCACAAAAAATTCAGATTGATCACATACAAACCAACTTTTATTATCAGCACATAATTGCTTAATTGAAAGAAGACTTCTTGCAATATTTGGAACATGAAGAACTTTACTGAGAATAAGTGAATGATCATTGGTTTTAATTGTAGCAGAACCAATATTCTGAATTGGTAGACTTGAGCCATTACCAATGGTTATGTTCTCAGAACCTTGAAAAGGAGCAACTTGATTTAATGAAGTAATATTTGCAATCATATCGTGTGAAGCACCTAAATCCACAATCCATGAATTTTGAGGAATAGACTGAGTTGTTTGTCGTGCATTCATAGCAGATAAAGATGATGGTGGTTGTTGACCTTGAAAGGCATAATTTCCCTTATGGAAACAATCGAGTGCAGAGTGTCCTCTTTTGCCACAGATTTGGCATTCAACAACCAAACTAGCAGAAGATGTATTTGTGTTCCTATGAAAGCAATTTGCAGTTGTATGACCTCTCTTATTACAAATTTGGCATTCAATTACCACATTTGTTCTTATTTCAGTGTTGCCTGACCATGATCCATTTCCATTTTGTGCTTGTCTTAACCCTCCTGAGTAGTAATTGTACCATTGTTGTACCCTCTTCCTTTAAAGTCACTGTTATTTCTATAATTGTTGTTATTGTTCTTGTATTGATTACCATTGTATGACCGGTCAACTATATTGGAAGACTGAGATCTAAACCCTTGCTGATTTCCAAAATTAGATTGACCCACAAAAATATAACCATAAGATTGATCAGGATGTCCTAGAGGAGAAGCTAATGATGTATTTGGATAGAATGGCGGATAAGATAATGATGTATTTGGATAGAATGGTTGAGAATCAAAAGAGTCATGAGGAGGATGAGTAGACGAACCATGTGGTTGTTGAATGATAGTACCCCATGTGGTAGTAGGAATGTGATTATGGCCCTGAGGATTAGAGGAAGATGTGCATTTGAAGAGCCAGACCCTTGACCATACATTGTAGGACCAGAACCAGAACTTTGACCAGAATTAGAACCTTGAACAAAAAGAGTTGACATATTCTGAGATAACAAATTCATTTCTCCTTCAATTTCCTTTTAGGCACCAAGCAATTGTGCTCAAAATTCTCTCAGAGTAATTAAGGACTCCCTTGCCAAGATTACAGTTTGAATAACAGCATATTCCTTAAGTAGACCAGCCAAGCCAGCAATCATAATATCATTTTCAGTAATTGTTTCCCCCACAATAGTTAGCTTTCAATCTCAACAAATACTTATCAATCTATGCCTTTTTGAATTGTATGCAGTTCAGTCTTCAAATGATTGACCCTAGATATAGAAATAGAAGCATATCTTTCAATAAAATTTGACCATGCTTCAAAAGTAGTCCTACAACCAAGAACATATGGATCCATTGCTTCATCTGTTAATGTAGCAAGTAACAGATTGATAAGGGCCATATCAGTTGACTCCCATTCAAGAAAAGTTGTAGTAACCTCCTTTGTTATTCCAACTTTTGTACTTACTACAAATTTTGGTGGACACACAGTTGTGCCATCAAAATGACCAAAGAGTTTGTACCCTGTAAGAACTTACTGGAATTGAAATGCCCATTTTGCAAAATTATCATCTCTGAGTTTTATAGTAAGCATACCCAACAAATTCTCCACTCTAAATGATGAAGATGCCATTGAAATGAATTCAATCAATTCAGATCACAGCAAAATACACTTAATCAAGGAGACTGATACTCCAAGAGAGAATATTACTTCAAAGAAAGACTGGCACTTTCCACTTTTAAGTTGCAACTCACAATCTTGAGAGAATAACACTCCAAGATTCACCGAAAAATGATACTTTCTTCTTCCAAAGTACAAACCTTAATCTTCAGCAGAATCACAAATCCTAGAGAATGATACTCCAAGATAAATCTAGAAAGAATGACACTTTCTTGGAACAACACATCAAAATTCTAACAAAAATTCCAAATCTTCAATTCATATGAAACAAATCTTTAACACACCAAATCAAGAAATCACAGCTTCAGAAAACAAACAATATACTGAATCACATAATCACAACAAATAGACGAATTCACCTGATTCACGATGCAGATCACCTTCAAGATTCCAGATCAACTTCCAGATTCCAAACCTTTGAAATTACCCAACTCGAATTTCTATATCAAAGCTCCAAACACAACAGCAAAAAACCTCTTCAGGATCAGAGATGGCGACAAGCTAGCACCGGCGATGATACCAAATTAACTATTGTTGACCAAATAAATACAAAATTCACTCATATTTTAGTCCCGTCCAGCAAGAACAAATGGATTCTAAAACTGAAATGACAATAATAGCCTTATTTCCTGTATTTGAATCTTTCTGCGTATGAATTAGACTTGTAAACGAATCGGATCAACCTTATTCCATATCCCAAGTCCATATATAATCTGATTATCCAATTCGGATCGTATTTGAAATATCCAATTGGAAATCTCTAAACTCTTAATCCATATCCTGTTTGACATAACTAGGAATAAGGAAATACTCTCAAGTGAACACACCCACTATAAATCATGCCCAAGATATCTTAATGTATGATGATTTAAAACTGGGGGTCCATATTTCTATAGAAAGTTAGAAACTAAACCACATAGGCGAGCTCATTCTAACACAAAACCAAAAAAAAAAAACAAAAAAAAACAAAAAAAAAAAAAAAAAACCAAAAATGGAACTTGATGAAGTGAGAAACATACCAATTTACACACAACTCAGTATCTGGTACTGTAAATCTCCACAATCGTAGCTAGAACGAAAGCCGCTCTTCATAGCCACTTTCACTCTTGAGGACATTAAGAGCAGTTGGAGGCACAGTAGACCGTCAAAAACTGAAGGCATCATCCATGGGCCAGTTAGAGGTGCAGATATATGATCCAAGCAAAGGCAGTAACTAAGGGCATATGTATGTATATAACTACCCACAATCGACAAACAAAAAGCAGGTCCTGTAAATGATCAAGAACCGTCCACCCAGATCCACTTTCCAGCACTAAACAACTTCTGGAATATACTCAAACCATTAAACAAAGAAAATGACATACCAAATCACAAATTTGCATGACATTTAACATTATAGGTTTGTCAATCACACTATCCTCCAATGCAATTTGACCCGAGAAATCAAAGCTGTAAAACCTTCATAATTAATCACACAACTTACGTTTATGCAAACATGTAGAGTGGTAACTATGTGGAACGTACGGGTGCAGTTTGAAGAATGTAAGGTGAGTGGATGGAGTGCTTTCGGATGCAGAGGACTATAAACACCAGAGAGAGAGAGAGAGAGAGAGAGAGAGAGAGAGAGAGAGAGAGAGAGAGAGAGAGAGAGAGAGAGAGAGAGAGAGAGAGAGGGGAGGGGGGGAGGCACACTTTGCAGAGAATGATAAATTCAATAACAACAGAGGTCGAAATACGAGTACATTAATCATACAGAACTTTAACAAATGGTGATGTCCTAGCCGTATGAGCTATAAAACCAATCTGAAAATTATGAATACCCAGAACATGGTTAACAAATAGTTATGAATAAGTTATGTGCAGAAGCCCCATCGGCTATACTTTACAGAACAACACAAAGTAAAGGAACCTACTAGTCTGTCTGAGGCTCCAAGTCTTCTGTATACATAAATGTACAACCCACTTCCAGCTTCAGAAAGGGACAATATACACCCATAACTATGTTAGAAAGGCCTAAACAGCTCTTCAAGGGACTAAACAATCTCCCCATTCCTGAATGTATTATCCCCACAATCTGCAGCTGGGTCCAACCCACAAGGAGAATCAAACCATTTCGAATTCGCTTGATAGAAGCTATCGACCTGTATACCAACAAGACCTACATCTGCCCCTATACCCTCATCATGTCTTAAAGACTTGGTTAGTTTAGTATCCTCGCAATCAAGCATGCTCTTCTCATCAAATTCACTGCACTTCAACCACTTTTCGGGCTTACAAGGGTCACCGATCAGATCTTTCGGAGTCCTGCAGTCTTCCCTCAGCTGCTCCCAAGGGACACCATCCTCAAGAGTTCGCCCAAAACTGTCTTCATCATCCTCAATCAAATCAGCGTCCTTGCCATCTCCATATAAACGTTCATGATGGTGATCACTCCAATGGGCCAAATCATTATCCACAACCAAAATATCACCTGCAAGCGTCTTATCGTGTAGCAAATCCATTGGCTTTGAACTCTCCTCTCCTACTTGTCTAACTTTATTCACGAGATCAAACAAATCTCGAGACACTGAACTCAAAAGCTCCTGCGGTATTTTCACAATTTTCTCTTCTAAAAGCCCAACTTCAGCTCTCAATTCCTGCACCTGCTGCATCACTAAAAACTGCATGTCCCCCTCATCCTTCCCGAACAATCCAAACCCATCATTGTCCAATTCCTCACTGACCCCATACACAGTATCCTGATCCATAAAAATCCCACCTTTGTGCCCCACAACCCGATGCATAATCCTCGCATTTCCGTCCAAAGGACCCGGCTCATGCCCTGAATGCACAGCATACAGCTTAAACACTGCCACCCCCTCCTCCTGATACACAAAAGTCTTGTCCCTTTCATTGTAATTCGTAATCGGAACAATGGCCCTAATCCGAAACCCGCACCCACACCTCTTTGAAGCATACGGCTCCCTCTTCAAAATCTTGGACTTCTTCGCCACGGGCTCCCCGGCCCTATGACAAGCATAGTCCTTAACCTCAGCCATAAAGGGCTTATACCTGATGTACTTCTGCCTTATACAAAGAACCACCTTATGCTTAGCAGCCAATTGCTGAAGCCTAGTGGGCACCTCTTTAGCAGGCACATCAAAAGACTCGGTATACTCAAACCGCCGGCGTTTGCCCCTCCCGGCAAGCCCCGAACTGTCCGTGGAGCAAACGGGGCATGCAGCAACACAAACCCTAATGTAACTCTCAGGAATTCCATAAAACTTAGCACCTACAGTCCAAACCTGCTTAATCCTATCAATGGTTTCCTTCAACCCTAAATGCTTCAAATCGGCATCGCTATGGAAACTCATAACAATGTCTTGCCACTGATTAATGTGAGAAACGAATTGCTGATTATTGTTCTTGAAACACAAGAATTCGTTACCGTTTTGGTCGACGTGGGCGGCGAGCTTGTCCTGGATGCGCTTCCAGGCGGTGACGTAGGCGGTGTCCTCGTTGCGGTCCTTCCAGACGGCGCGCCAGGACTTGAGGACAGGGCGGGGCGTGGCGGCGCGGATCTCGGCGGGGGTGGCGAGACGGGCGTCGAGGATGCACCTGATCATGAGGGAATGAGACTCCGGGTTGAAGGTGTAGAACTGGGAGGAGATGTGGGGCTCCGGGGAGATGTAGATGGGCTGGGATTTGGGGTCGGATTTGGGGTTAGGGTTCGAGACGTCGTCGTTCTCGTCGGAGGAGTGGGAGGGGGAGGGGGAGGGGGAGCGGAAGAGGTCGATTTCCGGGGGGAGGGGGAAGACGGGGTCGTGGAGGACGACGTCGTCTGAAGGGAGTGAAATGGAGGGATGGGATTCCATGATCTGGTGGGAAGGTGGGCCCAGATCATGGTGGCTGTGGTGGAAATGATGGTGGAAGAGATCTTCTGTTTTGTGAGGATTCATAGAAATTGAATTGAAAAACTTGTTTTCAAAAGTATCTTGTTCTAGTAATCCTCTCTTCTCTTGCTCTACTGCTTTTTGCTACTTGCTGTTTTCTGATGCTTTTTGAGTTTGTTTTTCGATTTTCTCACAATTTTTGTGAGGCACGCACGCAGCAGAGCGGCAGAGCAGCAGACGGAGAGAGAGGGTATGTCTCTCCAAAGTCTCGTCCCCAGGACAGGGCCCCTTCTATTTTTGCCCTTTGCTTTCTCTCTCTTCTTTCTCTCCTCCTCTTTGTTTTGTTTTTTTGTTTTTTATTTATTTATTATTTTATTTACTTTCTCTCTTTTCTCTCCTCCTTTTTCTTTTGCCTTTCAAAAGTAACCGTCTTCGTAGAGCAGTTTTAAAAAGCAGGCTGCAGATTGCTTTTAATAAAAATAAAAAAACAGTTGAGTCTTTCTTGTAATACCTTTATTAGTTTTTACAAATAATATTACCTATCATTATACATTTATTTCATTTCTTGGAGAACAAAGTCGCCACCTTCGTTACCGCAACCATTATAACTACAACCACAACTAGACCTGGCAGTTTTTGACACGACACGGTGACACGACACGAAAACGACACGAATAACGGGTTTCGGGTCAACACGATAACTTATCGGGTCACTATCAGGTGACCCGTGAAGAACCCGTTAATAACGGGTTCTTAACAGGTATACACGCGGGTAACACGTGGGTAACCCGTTTCGACCCGTTAAGAAAAAAATTATTTTAATAATTTTAAAGTTTAATTACTAGAAGATTTATTATAAAATACAATAGTCATATTAATATATACAATATATTCTATATTAAATATATAGTTTTGTATTATTGTTCTATATAAATTATAAAAAAATAAAAAAAAGTTTTAGTCATTATTTATTTTAATTATGAGAGTTCCTTATTATCATTACTAGGATAAATTTTACATAACATATTCTTGTCCAAAATTAAAATATACTAGTATAGTATTTGTATATGCAAGAACTAAGAAGATATACATACAAGTATGAAAAATGTGAAAGAATATATAAACACTCGTGATTTATCATTATTCCTTCACGAATAGATAATTGTTACACTTATATTATCGTTTAGATTTTTAAAATCCTTCAAACCATCATGAATAATGTAAAAATATATATATACAATCACTCATATATAAAAAATGTAAATACTTTAAATTAAAGATCAAATTTATTCATTACATTCTTATAGCGTCGAGGAGTTTATATGTACAAAATCATCAAAATCGGAGCTAAAATAACCGTTAAATTATGATTTTTCATTTATAACCGTCGAAAACTTTTGTTCCGTTACGTAATCTCTGAATGTTTGTTTTTTATGATTTTTTACGTTTGCAATCTCGGAATGTGTACGACTAAATTTGGCGGTTGGATCGTTGAAAAAAGTTTCGTAGAATGCATATTGCATCAAAACGGTAGATTAAACAAACACTTAGAGTTAATATTATACTTCTATTAAGTATAAAATAAGTTTTTGTGGTATCCACTAGTGTAAATACTTTAAATTAAAGATCAAATTTATTTATTACATTCTTATAGGGTCGAGGAGTGTATATGTAAAAATCATCAAAATCGGAGCTAAAATAACCGTTAAATTGTGTTTTTTCGTTTATAACCGTTGATAACTTTTGTTCCGTTACGTAATATTTGAATGTTTGTTTTTTACGATTTTTTACGTATGCAATCTTGGAATGTGTACAAATAAGTTTGACGGTTGGATCGTTAAAAAAAGTTTCGTCGAATGCATATTGCGTCAAAATAGTAGATTAAACAAACACTTAAACTTAATATTATACTTCTATTAAGTATAAAAAAAAGATTTTGTGGTATCCACTAGTGTAAATACTTTAAACTAAAGATCAAATTTATTCATTACATTCTTATAGGGTCGAGGAGTGTATCTGTAAAAAATCATCAAAATCGGAGCTAAAATAACCGTTAAATTGTGATTTTTTGTTTATAACCGTCGAAAACTTTTGTTCCGTTACGTAATCTCTGAATGTTTTTTTTTTACGATTTGTTTACGTATGCGATCTCGGAATGTGTACAAATAAGTTTGATGGTTGGATCGTTGAAAAAAGTTTCGTAGAATGCATATTGCGTCAAAATAGTAGATTAAACAAACACTTAAAGTTAATATTATACTTCTATTAAGTATAAAAAAGATTTTGTGGTATCCACTAGTGTAAATACTTTAAATTAAAGATCAAATTTATTCATTACATTCTTATAGAGTCGAGGAGTGTATCTGTAAAAAATCATCAAAATCGGAGCTAAAATAACCGTTAAATTGTGATTTTTCGTTTATAACCGTCGAAAACTTTTGTTCCGTTATGTAATCTCTGAATGTTTGTTTTTTACGATTTTTTATGTATGTGATCTCGGAATGTGTACAAATAAGTTTGACGGTTTGATCGTTGAAAAATGTTTCGTAGAATGCATATTGTGTCAAAACAGTAGATTAAACAAACACTTAGAGTTAATATTATACTTCTATTAAGTATAAAATAAGTTTTTGTGGTATCTATTATTGTAAATACTTTAAATGAAAGATCAAATTTACTCATTACATTCTTATAGGGTCGAGGAGTGTATCTGTAAAAAAATCATCAAAATCGGAGCTA